TGTGTTGTGTGTGTACACGTGTGTGTGTTTGTGTGTGTGTGTGTGTGTACACGTGTGTGTGTATACGTGTGTATGTGTGTGTGTGTGTGTGTGTGTGTGTGTGTATGTGAGTGCGTGTGTGTGTGTGTGTACATGCAAGTGTGTATACGTGTTTGTGTGTGAGCATGTATATACAAAGTATACACTTCCTCATGCACTTATAAAATTATATGAAAGTAGATATCGTCATATACATGATCACTTAAAGCTTATAACAATGATCCTGAATATACATATATGCACGTGTGTATATTCATATGTATACAAATTTGTATACATCCAAATTGACAACGCTTGTATAACAAACAGAAGACTGTGTTAATTTATTTAGACAAAGATTCCAATAGAACTAGCGAAGAATAGAAAACACCTAATCTGAAACGGGTGTTGCGGTGTTGTCATCATACAAACGCGATAGCAGATTAACTCTACTTATCATGCACAAAGCTAGTTGTGCTCAAAACACACACCAGAGCGCCGACCTCGGGTTTCCCCTTCCCCACTACAGCGACACCTTCGGAAGTTGTAGCTTGTTCATTATCATTCGATGCGACCGGTGTTTGGCCCAGCCAGAAAAACACTATGAGTGATAAAGCCACACCCACAGCGATGACTCCTCTTTTCTTGGCATATCGCACCATCGCAGCCATACTCACCTAAGACAAAGAAAAACGTACATAAAATCTTGGAAGAGTAAGGTCTCGTATTTACTTTCTTACTAATAGTGCGCGCAGTTGTTAATCGAGTCACTAGTGAAGAACTGAAGATACTATTAATTATCCACGGGTGTTTTAGGTCCCTTGCACAGGGCCGTGAGAACCTGCTATGTACATAAATAGGTATTTGCTGTGACGTATAACGATCTTATATATTTTCATAGAACGATAGGTTCAGAAGAGTATTTACTATTCAACCTTTTCATTTGCAACAGACTCGGAGTAAAACATAGATTCAAAATATATTAAGTATTTGCAGATTGCGATAACGATTAGCTAAACCCGACATATGTATGTTTTTATCTAATTTGTACTACATATTTACATACTAAAAACATATACATAGGGCATGGGACTGAGGGTACAATAATAACAACCCAAGAAGTAAAGTTTGGGTGATACTTTTGGGGTTTTCAATTCAATTAAAAAAAAAAAGCACCAAAAAAACATCTATAAATAGAAACAGTAGTGCAGTACATAGATATCTATGTAATTGTTTCCTTTTTTCCTTTTTTTTAAGTATATAAAAAAAACATGATGTATTTATTATGTATGTATTGTATTTACACGTATTTACGGCCATACATTTCTAAAGATGCGTGGGCAGCTGGGCAGCCTGAGCGCCATTTTTTGAGTTTAACAAAAATATTTAGCGCATACATAAAGAGTCTCATATTGTTATTAAAGCCAACACGCGTAAATAAGTGTGACCTTATTTATACTTTTACACACTGCTGCCAAGGTATTTTTTTTAAATAATACGCCTCGTTAGTGTATTTTCTTTTTTCGGAAATGATAAGACGCGTCTGTAAATAGGATAAAGTGACCATCCCAAATGACAGGAAACGTACCTCCATTATTTATGACTTGCCATACCTCAAGTGTTGAGTGATGGATGTCCTTCGTCTGTGGTTCATTGCTATGTCGATACATCACGGACAATCAACCATGCTTCAGGTGCAACTATCCGTGTGTGTATATAACGTGAGACCTGAATATGTCAGAATAATTAACAGAACAGCTTGTCTATTACTTCTATCTCAGTCCGCACGATCCGCTAATGGGTGGATTTCTCTGAACCTTCCACGATGGGATCACCATTCTTAGGCGGATTTCTCTGAACCTTCTGCGCTGGGCAATAGAGCTGGCCTAGTACGACTTAATTAGCTTCTAATACAAAACTTACTCAAACCCTCCTCGAAGCGTTGAATAACGCACATATCGCAGGCCTTCGTGAGACATGGAGTCAAACATTGTTCTATAATGTAGGTGTTGGTTCACTTCAATGCCTATAAATCTACACTCGACTACATTAGGGATATCACGGTGCAGCTGAAGGTGTGGACACCTGAGTTACAGATTACACAGCTATGCTCATGTAACTCACATGATACACAAGTGATAGTAAGTTAGCGCTCGTACCAGTTATGGAACAGATGACCCGGTTGATGAAAAATCACCGTCGAGTATGTGAACGTTGTCAGACGGACGCCGACTTCCAGCAAAGACTACTGAATCACTGTGTAGTACAGTTGTTAGATGAAACGCTCGACGCTTGCACATACAAACGCATACTCCAACTACACTCCAAATGACATTTGATGGCGACCCATGAATTGCTACAGCTGTTGAGCCCGGTATACATGAAGCACAACAACGGTTAACAGCACGTTCCCTCGGATGCCAACAACATCACACAGGGAATACAACAAGGGACTATACCAACAGTCGTCCGAACCCGCAGACAGCGCAACGGCAGAATCAGTACTGGG